AGTGAATACTGGACAATCTCCTCATGTCTTCCAAAAGCTAAACAAAGTATTAAGAAACAGGAAGATTTCGTTAGAAACAAAGAAAATGAGTGATGAAACTTCTATGTAATATCAATCCTCCTATATGGCAGTGAATGCTGGACAATCTCCTCATGTCTTCAAAAGCTAAACAAAGTATTAAGAAACAGGAAGATTTCATTAGAAATAAAGAAAAGAATGATGGACTTCTATGTAATATCAACCTCCTATATGGCAGTGAATGCTGGACAATCTCCTCATGTCTTCCAAAAGCTAAACAAAGTATTAAGAAACAGGAAGATTTCGTTAGAAAAGAAAGAAAAGAGTTATGAACTTCTATGTAATATCAATCCTCCTATATGGCAGTGAATGCTGGACAATCTCCTCATGTCTTCCAAAAGCTAAACAAAGTATTAAGAAACAGGAAGATTTCGTTAAAAGCTAAATAAAGAAAAGGAAGATTTCGTTGAACTTCTATGTAATATCAATCCTCCTATATGGCAGTGAATGCTGGACAATCTCCTCATGTCTTCCAAAAGCTAAACAAAGTATTAAAAAGAAACAGGAAGATTTCATTAGAAAGAAAGAAAAAAGAAAGTGGTGAACTTCTATGTAATATCAATCCTCCTATATGGCAGTGAATGCTGGACAATCTCCTCGTGTCTTCCAAAAGCTAAACAAAGTATTAAGAAACAGGAAGATTTCGTTAGAAAGAAAGAAAAGAGTGATGAACTTCTATGTAATATCAATCCTCCTATATGGCAGTGAATGCTGGACAATCTCCTCATGTCTTCCAAAAGCTAAAGAAAGTATTAAGAAACAGGAAGATTTCGTTAGAAAGAAAGAAAAGAGTGATGAACTTCTATGTAATATCAATCCTTCTATATGGCAGTGAATGCTGGACAATCTCCTAATGTCTTCCAAAAGCTAAACAATGTATTAAGAAACAGGAAGATTTCGTTAGAAAGAAAGAAAAGAGTGATGAACTTCTATGTAATATCAATCCTCCTATATGGCAGTGAATGCTGGACAATCTCCTAATGTCTTCCAAAAGCTAAACAAAGTATTAAGAAACAGGAAGATTTCGTTAGAAAGAAAGAAAAGAGTGATGAACTTCTATGTAATATCAATCCTCCTATATGGCAGTGAATGCTGGACAATCTCTTCATGTCTTCCAAAAGCTAAACAAAGTATTAAGAAACAGGAAGATTTCGTTAGAAAGAAAGAAAAGAGTGATGAACTTCTATGTAATATCAATCCTCCTATATGGCAGTGAATGCTGGACAATCTCCTCATGTCTTCCAAAAAGCTAAACAATATTTTTAGAAAGAAAGGAAGATTTCGTTAAAAGAAAAAGAAAAAAAGAAAAGCCAAAAAAGTGATGAACTTCTATGTCATATCAATCCTCCTATATGGCAGTGAATGCTGGACAATCTCTTCATGTCTTCCAAAAGCTAAACAAAGTATTAAGAAACAGGAAGATTTCGTTAGAAATAAAGAAAAGAGTGATTAACTTCTATGTAATATCAATCCTCCTATATGGCAGTGAATGCTGGACAATCTCTTCATGTCTTCCAAAAGCTAAACAAAGTATTAAGAAACAGGAAGATTTCGTTAAGAAAAGAAGAAAACAAAGAGTGATGAACTTCTATGTAATATCAATCCTCCTATATGGCAGTGAATGCTGGACAATCTCTTCATGTCTTCCAAAAGCTAAACAAAGTATTAAGAAACAGGAAGATTTCGTTAGAAAGAAAGAAAAGAGTGATGAACTTCTATGTAATATCAATCCTCCTATATGGCAGTGAATGCTGGACAATCTCCTCATGTCTTCCAAAAGCTAAACAATATATTAAGAAACAGGAAGATTTCGTTAGAAATAAAGAAAAGAGTGATGAACTTCTATGTAATATCAATCCTCCTATATGGCAGTGAATGCTGGACAATCTCCTCATGTCTTCCAAAAGCTAAACAAAGTATTAAGAAACAGGAAGATTTCATTCTTCCAAAAAAACAAAAGAAAAGGAGTGGTGAACTTCTATGTAATATCAATCCTCCTATATGGCAGTGAATGCTGGACAATCTCCTCATGTCTTCCAAAAGCTAAACAAAGTATTAAAAACAGGAAGATTTCATTAGAAATAAAGAAAAAGAATGATGAACTTCTATGTAATATCAATCCTCCTATATGGCAGTGAATGCTGGACAATCTCCTCATGTCTTCCAAAAGCTAAACAAAGTATTAAGAAACAGGAAGATTTCATTAGAAATAAAGAAAAGAATGATGGACTTCTATGTAATATCAATCCTCCTATATGGCAGTGAATGCTGGACAATCTCCTCATGTCTTCCAAAAGCTAAACAAAGTATTAAGAAACAGGAAGATTTCATTAGAAAGAAAGAAAAGAGTGATGAACTTCTATGTAATATCAATCCTCCTATATGGCAGTGAATGCTGGACAATCTCCTCATGTCTTCCAAAAGCTAAACAAAGTATTAAGAAACAGGAAGATTTCGTTAGAAATAAAGAAAAGAGTGATTAACTTCTATGTAATATTAATCAATGGCGGGTGCATGTAAGCATTGTTGGCTATTATCCATTTTGGACAAGTATTTCTTTTATCTTATTTCTCTTGCTTTTCCACCAAGTAATAATAGTCATAAATTGTTTTGTCTGAATGTCTTAGCTGAAGTATAAGTAATATAGTAACAGTTCTAAGTCGAGGCTTATGAAGCTTTATTTGACTTATTCTGCTTTAGTGTTGAAAACCTTTTATTTTATTGTGGTGGATGGTTTAAAACGAAATGGGAGATAGGATGTGCTTATTTTATTACCACAGCATTATCAATCACTATTAATTTTTGACTCGTATTTCCTTCATTTTATTATTGTTGGTTTTTACCATAACGCTCAGTTCGTTGTACTGTCCGTTATTAAGCAGCGGGAATGAGAATTATGTTTATTAGTAATAATCATTGATAGTAAAATTCACATCTGTCTTTTTTTCTGCATTATTAATGCTATAAAACCTTACGTTTAACTCCTTAAAAAGCATTCCCGAATTCTCCGCAGAGTTCGAACGCCATTTTATTTCTGGCCTTCAAGGCGAACAGATTTCCACAAGCACATTTGCTTTTCTTTTTTTTTTCTATTCCTTTTCTTTGGCCGTCACTTGTTACATTGTCGCCATTTTCTCGCAACGAAATTGCTTCTCTAACAAAAATTTCTCGCTGCAATTTCCTATTCTGGTGGCAATTAGTAGCATCACACACAAACTGCAAATCGAATTTAGGCTAATGAACTATGTACTCAGTGACCATGCCAGTTGGGTAAAGAAAGGGGTAGGATTGCACTCTAAGTGCTAGCTGAGTTTCCGAGGTGCATAGGGGTAGGTGCTAAATGCGTTTGTCTTTCAGCTGCAGCCATATTGGATGTAAATGGTGTCAACTGTTGATTTATTGTTGACTCTGCACTTGCCAAGACTCTTGTCGCCATGGCTCAGTGTGTGCTTTCTTTCTTTTTATACTCTCCCTCTAGCTTATATATATATATATATATATATATATATATATATATATATATATATATGTGTGTGGGGGATGATTCTGTTTATATCTATCGATCGATTTTCATAGCAAGCCAACAAATAGATTATTCTTGGATTATCTAATAGACCGAGTGTTTCTCCAACCTTTTTCAGCAACGGCACACCTAGGAGCAAATGAAAATACAGTGTTAACCCGGATGTAAGAGAGTTGTCGGGACCGGAGAAGAAGTCTCTTATATCCGGGTTTCTGTTATTTCCGGGTTTGGTCTATTTTATATACAGGCTCTAACACAGGCTCTAATTTGGGACCAGAGAAAATCTCTCTTATATCCGAGTTTCTCTTATATCCGGGTTTGGTCTATTTTATATACATTAACACAGGCTCTAATTTGGGACCAGAGAAAATCTCTCTTATATCCGGGTTTCTGTTATATCCGGGTTACACTGTATCACTATACACTTAGCAAAATTTCAAAGGGGATACATTTAAATGTTACGAAATAAAACCATAGATTTAAAAACGAAATACACACAGAAAAATGAACTTAATTTATTTCAATGTTTCCACTCAACTAATGGAAAATTATTAAATCAATTTCTCAATGTTGTATATCGTCGGCAATATTAATTCATAATTCATTATAATTTTGTAATAAATTAGAATTAAACAAAAAATGTTGAATACAGTTATATAAAAAAAAGGTTAATATTTTTTTTATTCAAATAAAAGAAGATATTAAAAAGTTAAATTAAAAAATAAAAGCACTGTTTAAAAAATGAATACTAAAACAAAGTATTTAAAATAACATATTCAATGAATAGTGAAAGAAAGTTTTAATATTTAATTTATTCAAATACAGTGTAACCCGGATATAAGAGAAACCTGAATATAAGAGAAACCCAGATATAAGAGAGATTTTCTCTGGTCCCAAATTAGAGCCTGTGTTACCTAAACAAAATAGACCAAACCCGGATATAAAAACCGGATATAAGAGACTTTTCTCCGGTCCCGACAACTCTTTTATATCCGGGTTACACTATACTAACGCTGTTCCATTACTATACTACATACACACACACACACATACATACATACGTATATATATATATATATATATATATATATATATATATTTAAAAATTTTTTTAAAAAAAAAAGACCACTTTAAGGTTCCATTATAATAATTTATTTCACAGAGCCATTTTAAAGGACGCCGGATCATCAGATAGCACTTCAAAAAATGAAACAAAAAACATATAAACATAAAATGTCTTAAAATAATTGTCGGATTTTGTCCATTTCATAATGTGTGACGTCATATATATATATATATATATATATATATATATATATATATATATGTGTGTGTGTATGTGTGTGTGTGATAATATTTCACTTAAGAGGTACACTAATGTACAGTGGCAACTTTCTCTCTAGTGCTGAAACACCGGTTCCCATACGATCACCGAAGGTAAGCAATGACGAGACTTGTCAATACCTAGATGGGCAACTGCTTGAGAATACCAGGTGCCGTAAG